ATCTGCTGCCTCCTACGGAGCTGCTGCTGCTGCTCCCCCTGCTCCCCCTGCTGCTGCTGCTGCTGCTACTCCTACTCCTACTCCTACTCCTACTCCTACTCCTACTCCTACTCCTACTCCTGCTCCTCCTGCTCCTGCTCCTACTCCTACTCCTACTCCTACTCCTACTCCTACTCCTACTACTACTACTACTACTACTACTACCACGACTACCACCACCACCACCACCACCACCACAACCACCACCACCACCACCACCACCACGACTACTACTACTACTACTACTACTACTATGACTATGTCAGTGTGCCTCGAACTTAGAACAATTATTTGAGCAAGATTGCCAAGCAATCTTGCAATCTTAGTCTCGCCGTCTAGTTCACCTTTTAGACCAAGATTTCCAGGGGGGAGCAAGATTGCCAAGCAATCTTGCAATCTTGGTCTCCACAAGGTAGTATTACCAGCAATCTTCCAGTCTTGGTCTCCAAAAGGCAAACTAGTCAGCGAGCAATTGGGGCAAGTGGGGCAAGATGACCAAGATTGCTTGGCAATCTTGCCCCCCCCCCGGACCAAGATGGTTCAATTCCCGGCACAATGTGCCAAACCCTAAACCCTAAAATATAAACCCCATTATTACTACTCTCAGATCCACAAGGGTTGGCCCGCGCTACGAAAGATCATCATCATAATCATAATAATCATAATCATAATGATATTAATACTACTAAGCATTGTCGTTATAATATGCCAATAACAATGAGACCAAGACTAAGAATGAGAACAATAACAACAATAGCAATGAACCGCATCTCCTCAAAAAGCTTGGGCGCCCAACCTCTCTTCGCGCCGCTTCCGCAAGAGCCCTCTCTCCGAGTGCCTTCGGCTCCTGCTTCTGCTGCAAGAGGAGAGAACCGCAAAGAAGCACAGGTCCCTTGCCCAGATGCCGTTTAGGGCTGAGTCGTAAATGGGGTGTATAGGGCTTAGGGGTTCATCTGAACCATATGAATACCAGTAGTAACAATGTCAAAAACATTAACTTATACATATATATATACACATATAATCATCGTAGTCAGAATAGTAGTAAGTAATTTAGTAATGGTGACAGAAAAATATAGTCTTAACAGTTGCGCATGACATCTAACCAGCAGGTCAGCACTGGCAGAGTACACTAGACAGACCCAACTACCGCATGGTACCCGGTGCATGCTGTCCGTAGGGCCAAGGCGTCCAACACGTAGCATCGCAACTTTGACACACCGACTAAAGAGAAGATTGAACCATGCAGAGGTCATGATCAGTAAGGAAGCTCGTCTGGATCGACAACAGCATTGCCATGAGGAGAGCATCGAACGTCGAATATAGAGAGTGGAAGCCGCACAGATTGAAGCCTCTGCTAGCAACGCACTTTGACTGAAGATTGAGCTCTTTGTGGATCCCTTCGACAAAACCTTATCTCCTGGATCAGCCACGACAACTTCTGCTTTTCCTTGGAAGCTTCACTTCGCAACTCCTGCAACTTGCAACATTGGGCTCGGCAAGAAAGTGAGGTGGAGGCGGGCATCGGAACGGTCACAACGCGCAGCAGCAGCCACATTTACACAGGAGACACGCACGTGCTTCAGGATTGACCAGCCTACGCTACAAATCCAACATCGTGCGCTCGTGAGAAGCGCAAAACATCGACAGTTACAGAACATTCAATTCTGAGTCACACGAAGCAATCTGATTTCGCACAAGTGCATCCATGAACAAAAATAAATACCAAGCCGGCCTCCACCCACTTCTTCGACTGCGCATGATGAGCATCCAACCGCTCAGAAAGCTCCTGAAGCGCAGCTATACAAAACTCTACTATACCGTAGTATGCTTGACTATACCATACTATACTATAATGTAATGTAATATGACTTCCTCCGTCGTAGGTGAAAAGGCCCCACTCCTCCGAGATCTGCAGCCGCTGTGACAGATCCTCGTCTCACGGGGCACAGATCAGCCGCCGCTGTGAAAGCAGGTTCAACAGCCTCGGTGGTGAGCTCGTTGGCATCGAGGCGCTCGAGAATACCTCTGCGAAAGTCCTGCTATCATCCATGTGAATCGCACTATGACTTAGATAGCTCCTGCTTACCAGAGCCCTAGTGGCCCGGTATTTCCCAAAACCCAAATATCTAGGGACGGTTACTCTGAGGATGACCAAAACCATGACAATCAAGGCAAGAAATCCCACCTCCCACATCGACTCGACAGATTCACATCTCCCATCCGTGCGCTGCTGTAGAACCTGCACGGCGGACTGCAAAGAACCAAGCAGGGTAGGTTGGTAGGCAGGCAGGCAGGTAGGTAGGTAGGTGGGTAGCTTGTGACACATCCCTAAACCCTAAACCCCTAAACCCTAAACCCCTAAACCCTACACCCCTAAACCCTAAACCCCCTGAAGTTCGTCCCAGGGCCTCTAACTCTGAGGCGACGAAGACTTTTGTGTCGCCCTTGCTGCAAGAATAGTAACAGAAGCTCATGGTTTCACACAGTTAGCTGGCTTCCTGTTTGGCTGAGATCATCGCCACCGTCGCTGCGGCCTCATCAACCTGTAGCATCTGAGGAAAGCGCACCATTCCCCTCAAGAACCTGAAGGCGCAGCCTTAGAAGCCATAGAAGTAATCTTCAGCTCGATGTCCTGCAAATCGTCGCGGCTCTGAAGGATCACAAGGCACTCGCAGAACCACAGTTTCGCCAGATGCCGACTTGAAACTCAGATTCTCCTGCCTCGCTGACTTTGTCCAGCTCTTGCAAGCATTCTTGTTGAAGCCGCTTGCCTTCGTCCTGCTCGCTGTGTGCAAAAGTGCAGTGTTGACTGCTGCCAGAAGCCGCCACGAGCACCCCAAGAGTTCTCCCAGAGCTTCTCAACCGATAACACACTGGAGATCAGTATCGCCCCCGATACATATCTTAGTCTATATTCATATAGAAATTTTATATTTGGTCAAGCTGCAACTTTCGTCCTTCTGCCATCAAAATTAAGTTGGTAAGGAGGAAGATCCTCCTAGTGGTTGCGGAAAATGCACGGCATCTTGCAGCACCCGTTGCTGACTTGCGACGTAACCCCTTGCCAGACCCCCGCACTTCTTGTATAGCGGTGGAAATAAGAATTACTGGGCGGTGCGGACTTTTGACCAATGAAACCCACGCCTTTCCTGAGCATGCTCTCTTATTGTTCTTGCAGTGAGCTTCTCTGAAGCTTCCCATGGTTGCATCATCAGCTCCCTTAGGATTCTACGGGGACATTCGTAGGAATTTGCCTTAAAGACGACTCTCTGAGTATCGCCTTGGGTTAGGAGTCAAACAGTTGTGGTCAACTGATTCTGTGCATGTCAACCTCTGTTCACAAGTTCTCGTTGCATGGTAAGTTACTTAAATGTGAACAAAGTGCAGGTAGCTGCGATTGACCAGCACTTCGACTGCCACATGAGCACAATAAACCGCAAAACGAATTGATGCCTACGACTTGGATAAGGATTGACTCCAGAAGATTCTGGAGAAGGGGGGGCCTTGGGATGACCAGGCATCCCGGGTTGGGCGTGGAGCGAGGGGGCTGGACTGGGCTCCCTAAGGCGAACTTCGTGAAGCGGAACGGAGATGCGTAGTGCGATGCGTATATGTTTAAAGTAAGATAACGGTAATGTACTGTATGGTAATACTATACACAGGCAAAACAACGGAGCCACAAAGCAGATGCACGACTCCCCCTTCAACTGTTTGCACATAAACCTCGCGAACGAAGTGTTGCAATAAAGTACTTCGACACAGAAGCACGAGCTAGCCGCAGGAGTTGGTCCTCCATGGAAGCTGTTAGCTCGTAATGTAAGTCGTCAAGAACCTGCATCAGCTTTACTTGCGACGAGCCATGCGTGACCGTGCAGAGGTCAGAAAACTTGCCAATGTGGAATATTATATTACATTTTATTGTCGTATAATAGTATAGTTTTGTATACTACAATATTAGATTAGACTATAATATGTTGCATCAGTCGCTCAAGATGTTTTCCAACTTCTAATGGCCTGGTTGCAGTGCTCGAGAGTTCTCCCTTCGGCGGCGCGAATGTGACTATCGCTGTCCTCCACAGTGAGGACCGGTCCGGGTATCTTTCATACTCGTAGGCAAGCATCATGCCAAAGTCCTCCAGCAGAGTCTGCACCTGCGTGTGCGTCTCTTCGTGCCCCGCTACCTGAGCAGGTCGCAGCGGGAAACCCCCGTCGCAGCGGCCTGCTGTGCTCCGCGGTGCGTCGCATAGCGTGGCATCAGGCCGGAGTCAAAGCAGTTGAGGCTCCGTCTCGCTTCTCCAACTCCACGAGAGACTGGGAAAGCTTGAGCCTTTCCTGACCGACAGACCGGTAGAAGTCATGCGATGGTTGATAAACGAGGCGACGTTGCAGGGCTACCGTCCTCGGTCTCGGAGTCCCGCTGTGCCTGTAGTTGCCTCTGCAAGTCCTTGAGCATCTGCTGACCAGCCTTTCACGGACACGCCAAAACGCAGGAAGCAGCATCTTCTGAACCAATTTCCTGCAAGTCTCGATATGCTCAAACCCCTCTTCTAATTATTCAGGCCCCTAAGTTCGACCCTGGATGGTCGTGCCAATGTCTGAAGGGAGCCTCGACTGCCGAGTCTTGCCGATTTCGAAGACGCTCCTGAAACAAAACTCGGTACTCTTACACTTTGTGACGTTCTCGCATGAGTCGAGTCCCGGGCTTACACAAAGAAGGAGTACGAGAGCGCGGCACTTGGTGATTCTCTTGTCGGGGAGAGAGCCAAAGGGCATCGGTCCCCCGGAAGGCATCAGATAGGTAGTTCTCTATATTAGGGTCCCTTCTAGGGTCTTGATTATAACAAGGGTGCCGTACTACAATGGGGACCGAAAAAAGGACCCTACTTTAGAGAGCGAGATTGCATCACAACAGTCCTCGGAATTCACCTGCTCGTCGATCTGACTCGCGACCTGAATCGTCCCGCCCCTTTGCTTCTATCCGAGACAAACCCGTCGCCTGCACCCCTGGAACCTCTCTAACCTTCTGGCACAATGCAAAAGCAAGGTTCGTAGCCGACAACTCGAAGATCAAGGATTTGGCTTGAATATTTGGAGGGATCACGGGTCCAACAACGCTTAGAGTGTTGAAGCCCTTACACTGCACTGCTGTTTAGAGTCTGGACGCTGACCCTCGAGCTTCTTTGTAATCAGAGAGCCTTTGCCGGAAGAAATCCACGGGGATCTTGACAAGCAAAGTGGCCAATGTAAATCACACAAACGTGACTCAGCTGTTTTGTGCTCCTCTGGTTCACGAAGTTTGGGAAGGAAGTTGGAGTGGTTTCGAGGTGTGCGAGCACAAGTGAAGGAGAGAGCTGCCCGATTCCTGGCTGCTGGTGGCGTGACGATGTGCTCGCGGCTCACACTCTCCGTCTGGGTTGAGGCTCCGTCTCGCTTCTCCAACTCCACGAGAGACTGGGAAAGCTTGAGCCTTTCCTGACCGGCAGACCGGCAGAAGTCATGCGATGGATGATAAACGAGGCGGCGTTGCAGGGCTACTGTCCTCGGTCTCGGAGTCCCGCTGTGCCTGTAGTTGCGCCTGCAAGTCATTGAACATCTGCAGCGCAGCCTTTCACGGACACGTCAAAAACGATGAAGCAGCAAGATCGCAACTCAACCGAGCCTCCTCTGCTGAGGCTTGTCGAGTGCGAAGCTGTTCCTGGGACTTACATTAAACCAAACTCTACTATTCTTGTACCATATTATACCATACTATACTGGTTCACGTAATATACTACCATGTGATACAATACTCTATTATGCTTTATTTTCAGTTTACAAATCCCAGGTCAACAGCCACTTCCGCGAATATGATAAGATATGTTATGACAGGATATGATATGATCTGCGATGCATGTGCATGTGTGTATAATATATAAACAAATCTATGTGTATGTGTGTATATATATATATCTGTGTGTGTGTATATATATATATGTGCACGTGTATATATATATATATATTTATTTATATATTTATATTTATATTTATATTTATATTTATATTTATATTTATATTTATATATATGATACTGCATTATGGAATAGTGTGATGGTTGCAGCGCTCCTCGCGCTCAACTGCAGCCGCCACCTTTGAGACGCAGGTCGGGTTGGGTTTGGAGTCCCCCCCCCGATGCGCGCGAACTCCGTGGACTCATGGTTCTCCTAAGACTAAACCCTAAACTCCCTAAACCCTAAACCCTAACCCCCAAACCCTAAACCCGAAAACCCTAAACCCCAAACCCTAAATCCTAAACCCTAAACCCTATTCTACTGCCAGATCCGGCCCGAACTGAATCCGCCTGCTTTGCAGTGCTGTCGGCGGCGGCCTCGCGGCAAGATGTGGTGGGTCTACAAGAAAGTCCCGCAGAAGCCCCGTTGCTGCGTGCCTTCTCTACCTCAGCCACCCTGGCCACCACCAGCTGCTTCTGGCAGTCCATCTCCTGTAGATCCATGCTTTCAAAAAAGCACGCGACGAGGCCTGGTAACCTGGTATGCAGATAACAGCGGAATCGTCGCCAGAAGTTGTGCTTCGTCATCCGAATCACCTTCTGAGTCACGGTCTCCATTCCTACAAGTAGTTGAAACCTGTGATAGCAAGACATCTCATCCAATCAGCACCTTCATGGATCCTTGCGAAAGCTCAAAGCTCCTGGTTCAGCCACGACAGCTGGTACTTGTGGTTGAAAGTTTCACTTCGCAGCTCCTGCACGTGATTTACCACGCAGATACCAGCCGGGCAGGTGGGCGGCCTGTTTCAATACTGGCACATCCAGACTAACTGGTATACGAATACTATACCAATCACATCTGCGAGCGCCCCTTATGCCGGCCTCCACCCACGCTTTGGACTGCGCATGGCGAGAGTCCAAACGGGCGGAAAGATCCTGAAACATTGAGGTCTTGCCTAGCAAACGTTGTTTTCGGCCTGCAAACGCTGATCCTCTGCGAATTGATGCGTCGACTGAAGTTGCTGCTGCAGCCGGCGTGACCAGTCCTGCTTGCAGTGTACTCAGAGGCTGCATACACCTGCACTATGCGGTATGGAACCCCGATGCAGAGGATGCAGAGCTCTCTACCTTAAGGGTGTAGCCGGCCTCTCTACTGAGCTCGTTCGACTCGAATCGCTCGTGAACGCCGTTCCGGAAGTCCTGCTTGGAAAGCCAGGGCCATCCGCAGGAATTCTTCCGCTGCACGACAGCAACATGATGCCGAAAGCACAACATGGAGGCTTCTCAATTCAAGGGGCGTTGTTGGAAGAAGCGGGTACAAGGATCCTCTTCTTCAGAGAGAGCCTTATTGCTATATATGGGTGGTTCTCTCAGCTAGGGCCCCTTGTTAGGTCCTCAAATAAAAAGGACCCTAAAAGGGTCCTAATTTAGATTAGAGAACTACCCTAAACCCCTAAACCCCTAAACCCTAAACCCTTCTTTCAAGAACATCTCGGACGACTTCGCACCTCCCACATCGACTCGACGGACTCACATCTCGCATCCGTGCGTTGCAGCAAAGCCTCAAGGGCCCAAGAGAAAGGCTTTGGGGTTTAGGGTGTAGGGTTTAGGGTTTGGGATTTAGGGTTTGGGGTTTGGGGTTTCGGGTTTAGTTTAGGGTTTGAGGTTCAGAGTCTGGGGTTTTAGGGCTTAGGGTTTGGGGTATAGGGCTAATTTAGGGTTTAAGGTTTCGGGTATAGAGCTAGCTTAGGGTTTAGGGTTTCGGGTGTAGGACCAGTTTAGGGTTTAGGGTTTCGGGTTTAGGACCAGTTTAGGGTTTAGGGTTTCGGGTTTAGGACCAGTTTGGGGTTTAGGGTTTGGGGCCCGAAAGACAGGCAAAAAGTCCGAGAAGAAAGGAAAGTGAGCGAGCTACTTGTACTTCTATACTGTAGACGCAGATTTGGGCAGCTCTCTAAATTTGTGTCCCCTTTTTTATAAGGATGCCACACTATATTGGGGATCTGAAGCGGGACCCAAATTTAGAGAAGGACCCACCTGAAACTTCGAGTTGATGAACTTGTCCGTCTTGGCCTCGTTTGGACTGTGGCAGGACGCAGCGGATCAGGGCGGGTGACTCGATGACTATTTCAAAGGTGGCTCAGACATCTCTGCTGAGATCGCAGCCACCGCCGCAGTCGCTTCATCAACCTGAAACCGTATCAGGGCCAAGTGACCATACTCTGTGCCCATCCTTCGATCACGATGCATCCCGCTCTTACAGCACGAGCCCTGCATAGCCAATGCTACGAAGATCAGCGAAGCGAAGCTTTACGTAATGTGCCACTCGAATACCCTGATCTTGGCAAGCACGACGGACACAAGCAAGGATCTTCCTGCAGTCTGCATAAGGTTGGAGCCTTGGAAGCCATGGAATTCATCTTCGACGAAATGCCCTGCGCATGGCAGCAGCATCGGCAAAAGAGCTTCACAGAGACCGACACGCCTGTCCCAAGCAGTTTCATGAAACTTCGCCTGGTTGACTTCCTCCAGCTGATTGAGGCAGTTTCTTTCGAGCCGGTTGCCCACTTCCTGTGCGAGCTCTAGCCATGTCAAGCTCGCGCGATGTCGTGTTATGCTATGCCTGCACACTGCCGGTCTCGTCTTCCAGATGTCCCACAGAGTCCTGGCAGAAGGTTAGCCCAGGCTCTGAGAGCCTATGGCGAGCCATTCAAAGCCATCGAACGAACCGATTGATGGCACATGACTGAAGCTGACCCGCCATGGCAAATGTGACTGCCTTGAGGCTTCGAACAGATACTTGGAGATGTGGAGGGAACGTAGTCCCATCTTACCTCGCTTGCCTACCCTAAACCCAAACTTCCTAAGCAGTGCCCCGGCCTTGAGGATGGCAAACTCTCGCAGAAGGTTTTGGAGGAGCATCGCCAGCCGAGCAAGCTCCTGCTCCACCTGCAAAGGCCGGCAAAACCCACGGTTTTTTTTTTTTTTTATGGGCCCTTTTCCACCTGCTTGTACACAGCTAGAATTCCTTACCAGGAGGAGCCTGTTATTGGGACCTCGGCGAGAACCAGAGAGTAAATTAGAAACTGAACAACGAGGTGCGAGGCCCCAACAACACAAGTCTGCATGATCTAGCACAGGCTTATCAGCGACACTGACTGGAAGAATATAACATCAGAACCTAGCAACCACCACCACTTAGGACCCTCAGTGAAGCTGATGTGAGCCCTTGACACATGCAAAGATCCGAAAGACAACCCTTTCCCAGATTTTGCAGAGGTCCAAGCAGTCACCGGGCCTGGATCTGGGCGAAGCAGTGCGGTCACTCAGCCAGTACACAACAACAAGTAAGAGTAGGTGTAGTTTAGAATTGAGACCCTGGGCTGAGCTAGTCGCCATCTGCCGGAAGGACTAGCATTCACAAGAACACAGGACACACCAAGAAGCCCTAACCTAAACGGTGAACGGTGAATCACGGCTCAGCTTGCCTTCCAGCATCCTGTACTGGCAGCTACAGCAAGGAAAAGGTTTGTTCCGGGGTTGCATGTCTGAGCCATACGAAAAGTTGTCCTAGTGACGTGCCAGCATGCGTCAAGCCACGCCAGCCA